TTTTTAAGGTATTTGGAGTTGCTTATCTTTCCTTTAGGGAGAATTTTCTACCTGTTAACATTCAGTAGGGCTTTGGAGGGGAGGGGAGCAGCATTCTATTGGATTTTCTATTCACAGCTCTACTGGAGATAGGGAAAGACAATTGCATTTGCAGTGGCACTAAAGTGGCTGTCCTTTTGTTCTCCTGTTTAGAAATTAAATTTCCTGTAATTATGCCTATTTTTGGTGTTGATTTGCTGCCAAGCAGCACTTTTCTTGTGATGTATGTTTGCTAAGACCCAATTTCAGTCTCTGTCTCACTTTTTCCCCAGTCCTAAAATGCAGACTGCATTTTCACAAGTTACATTTGGGGTCCCTTCATGTTTACGACTCTTTTGAAGCATAAGCCTACTTTTGAGGGGCACTGCTTATCGTTCCGGAAATCTGGGCTATCACAGCTTCCCTTCATCCCGCCACTATGTGCAGGGGAAGTACATACATCCCATACACCACATACCAGCCCACACATTCCGTGCCTTCCTGTTTAGCTTTATTTTGGTATTTAGCAATTTATACTTCCTGCCTTTCAACCCAAGCTGAAAGCCGGGTTCAGAGAACTTCTTCTCTACATCGATAAACTATCATCTTTTAAAAGCTAGTCCTTTCAGAAAAGTGTCTCTGCAAATAAGAGACAATTATTAATTTAATTCTTTCCCTCCTTACTTGAATTTAGTCCCTACCAGATTTAAAAAAAGAAAAACAGAATTGTAAAGTAATCTGGATCAGAAAAGTCATCTAAAATACAGCTCTGAGTACAAGAAGTTAGAAATTGCTAAAATAACACAATGACTTTCTCCCATATATGGAACAGGCATGTGAGCTTTTCAGTTTACATTTATAGATCTGATATTATAATGAAAAATACATTCTTTAATATTGGCTCTATTATTTAATACTTAGAGCTCTTTTTGTCTTTTCATAGTGAAATACAGTGTCACAACCATCAAACAGTTTTAGTCTGTCTTGCTTCATTTACTAATACTGTAGTTTACATTGACTGTTTAGCCTCCTCTCGTATTTCTGCTATAATGGTGCCACTAATCATTTGCCTAAGAGAGATGTGGTCTATACATTAATAAAGAAATGGAATCCTGTGATATTCAATTTTATATATTTTTTCATAAATCTTTGAGCTGTAGCTACTTCCTTGGTCTGCCTGTATTATTCAGGGAATATCAGTATCCAACTCTAGCCTTCAGAAAAAAAGAATAGGCTATAAATTAACACTCCTTATGATAGTTTGTAACACTGTAAAAAAAAAAAAAGGTACTCTTTAAGTGTTACCTCTAGAAAATATTTAATAGATTGCTAGCAATAAGGAATTCCATACCATTCTGTAAAACCAGTGATCATGAGTTAGAAACAATAAAAACACAATGAACAGTCTGCATGCCCAAGAACTAAAACATTACTAATCACCTGCATCTCCAAAACTACTGACGGCCTTGTGTGTTACCATATATGCAGCATTAGCCATTTTGAAGGCCAAAGGGATTTTTTAGATTATGGTGATCCTGGTTTCCTGCTTGCCCGTGCCTGGCCCCCAGAGTTGCACGGAGGCATTCTTACTCTTGATATTGTGCAAGCGTTCTACTGGGAAGGCCCGTTATTTACCCTAATAGCTGGAACTCCAAAGGGAGAGATAACTTGCCTTTATCTAGTGGCAGTTTCAAAGCCGTTGTAAATTTTCACAGTGGTGCTGTTGGTCTTTCTCCTCTCCGCTCTTCTTGTGTCAATTTATCTACAAAGGGATCTTTTTAGGCAGTACAGAAAAGGGAATTCTTCCATTGAATTGACTGTTTCCCCCCCTTTCTGGTTTTCAGTTGTGATACAACTTCTTTATTGTTAGGAGAGAATTGAACTCTTCTACAGATTAAGGGATTTGGGGTTCTCTTGTTCTGTACCAACTTTATAGCTAGCCCCTTTTGTTTTAGGGGGAATTATATAAATGGCCTGAAAAGCCATATTGAAGTGCTAATATTTGTTTAAAAATAGCATATCTCGAATTCTCCTGAGCTCTTGATATCATGCAAATGGATCAGATTCCATTTACTACCACTTGCCATTGTTCTGGAGATCTTTACTTGGCCTGGAGTTTTTTTTTTTGTTTTTTTTCCTTCTTTGTGAACTCCTCCCTGATCGCATGTGAGCAAAGACACACATTTAAAAAATAAGTTAAAAAAAAAAAACACCTCAGCCACGTTAAAAGAGAACATCCTTCTGGAATTCATTGTGGCTTAAATTACCATTTATGGCAGGGGTTTATTGCCTGCTGATTTGCTTAAAGGTAGAATAGTATTTTGAACCACTTCTCTTTGACAAGAAGCAGTGAGTTTCCAGACACCGTAGAGCCTGTGCTGGTTTAGGACACTAATACTTAGTCGCTTTATTCTCCCACAGAACTTGGTAGGGAATGAGATGTCCTGTACACAGTATGTTCTCAATAAATTGCTTTGGACGTTTTTTACCCCACTTTGCTAAACCGGGCTACTTGGCAATAACCTAGGTGCTCAATAAATATATTTGTCTTTATTTTTCTTGTAGATCTCCTGTTCCCCATTGATATTTCCTTGGTCAAGAGAGAGCATGACTTTTTGGACAGAGATGCCATTGAGGCTCTATGCAGGTAACATGCATGCTTTGTTTTGACTGTTTTTATTTTCTTTTCCATTTTTTAAGAACACAGTAGTGATCACTAAGATAGGTTGTGTTTGCTTTTATTCTAGCTAATTATGCTAGGTCTTTGATTAGCAAAATAGTATTGTTATTTACTTTGCTATAAATCATAGACCTTTTCATTAAAAATTAAATAAAATGCCATTATTTGGTATTGCCATTAAAATAGGATCTACACTGTCCGGGCAGGTACTCAGACAACACCATTCCATATTTGATACAATATGATTGCTGAAACTGGTAACTTTCAGGTGATTTGGAAACTTGGAATAAGGTTTTTTAAAAGGTGATGTGATTGACTGCACAGCCCTAACCAGGTACCTCAACAGAATCAGGGCTGCTGTTGTATTGCATGGAAATTCAGCACATTCCGAGGAATAAATGGGGCCTGGCGGTTATGACATATAGGGACAGGACCATCCCTTGAATTCCAGGAAAACTTCTCTGACCCTCTTCAGTTTCCCCAGGTATAAAATAAAGATAGGATTAAATAGGGCTATAAAATAACTCAGCACAGTCTTTAACATACAGGAAACAGACAGTAAATGATGTGAAATGTGAGTAAAACTGTCAGAAATTCTTGTTCATGGTGCTGGTGGGTCTTCAAGTTGAGTAGCAGCTTGTAGGTTTTAGTGAAGTGGAAGTAATAAAACTGAAGGGGACAGGACACTGATGACTCTTGCAAACTAAACTCTTCATGACCA